TTGCGTCTGTGATCGTCGCTGAGCAGATACTCGATCACAGTATCCTCATCAGCGGCCTCCTTGAGGTTGATCTCCTTCTTGTCGCGCAGCTGCTTGTATGCCGCATGCCAATCAGTCGGCAATTCGACATTCAGTGAGCGCAACAGCTTCAACCACGAGCAGCAGCAAACTTTGGCCTTGAATGATGCTTCGTGGAGCATTGCACGGTCGTCGAAGATGCGCTTTGCCAGCGAGTTGGCGCGCTCCGCCGGGACTGACGAGGTAGGCGCGCCGAGGTAATCCATTGCAATGACGAACAGCACAGGGAAGTCGATTCGATGGGCAAGCCATCAGCCGAACACGTCGGTGTCATCGGGGACCATCGGGTACTCGCAGAAGCGGGCAACTTTTGTGTTTGTGTTTTGCGGCTCTTCGGCGGCAGCATCACGTTGGCGTTGACGACACGCCCGGAGTAGCATTGCCACGCCCGTTAAAGCCAACGAATCGCTGTCTGAGTGCCATTGATCGCCGAGGCGGACGCGCGATGCCGCTCGTGCTGCTTCCGCGTCGACCGCCGCGACATAATTCATCGCCATCAAGAAATTGATCGTTGTCATCGCCGCGTCCCGTTCAGCTAGTGGTTTCGGAATGCGGGGGTCGAGGAATTGCGCGATGCAAGCAGGTCGACTGTTAAAATGCTGTTGATATGGTAGCATGGTCGCGAGTCAAACCTCGTTGCATTCATGGACAACTGGATCATCGCTTGATAGAGACTGGTTGCAATGATAAACAACTGCGTCAGAAGCAATCTGTGCGGTACTGATCGTGCAGTATTTCGCGCTGCCCATGCAGCTAGAAATTTTGGTTGGCAGTTCCAGCCATTTGACCAACGACTTCGACTGCGACAAGATCTTTTCATCGGATAGGCCGATGCCAGCATCAACAAAATCCTTGGCAATCTCCTCAAATCCAACGGTCATTGTCATTGCTTGTCAACATTTCAGCGCCGATGCCAACATATTATGCGTGGAACCCCATCGTGTCACAACATTTAGGCACGGTGGCTCCATGGTGCGCTCATACGCTGCCACAGCGAATCGGCGGAACGCAGCACGATGGGCCTTGCCACTACGAAGCATAGCGATCGATTTGCGAAGCATAGCAACTGAGGGCTGAATGACCTTGATCGCAGCATTGATTCCGAGCTGGAATGAATGAGTAAAGCAATGTACACGAGGATCATCAGGCAGCACATCACGGCCAAAACGAGTGCGAAGCATGAACGACAAATGCAATCCAGCGTTAACCGCGTCTGAATCATTGTGAGAGACCGTGACGAGGATCTGATCGCCGAGGCCGAAGGCACAGAGCAGATTGAATTTGGCCTCGGCACAGCGCACACCACATCCTTCACCCGGCAATATGTAGAAGAAGTCCAGTAAGGTTTCGACAACTTTGCCAGTCGCAACATGGATCCAATGCACCGTGACGGAGTAAAACTTCTTCAACAGCGTGTTTGACCATCCGTCGTAGGTGGCGGACACCTTGGCTTCAAATGATTTGAACAGTGCGATCATCATATACTTTAGCACGACATACATTTTCAAAATGCATCGTTTCGTGGTGCGACTTGATTTCGTCACGTAGCCCGGCACCGACACGTTCATGAGCGACTTAAACGATTTCGACTTGGTGTGCGTGTGCGGCAATGTCGAATCAACAACGTATTCAGCAACAGCGCTCTCAAGGCGACACGAGCGCGACTTGCGTCAGAACAGTCTGAGTGCTCGATTGGTCGGTAGCACGCTCCTTGGATTGCGTAGACAGACGGTGATGCTGCTCGAGGTGCTTGGCGATGACACCCGTTGTCGTTTTCGTTGACCAGCTCAACTTGCAAGGAGCAACGCCGCAGAAGCACCGATCATTGATGATGCTCGTATGATCGTGAATCCATGACGACTTAGGCGCGTTCGGCCGGGCACGCTTGAACGCCGGCATGTCCGCCTCCGCCTGGTGGCGACGGACAGGCTTGTCGTCATCGTCGTCCGACTCCTCAATGACGATAACGATGTCGGCAACACTGTCCCCAGGTCGAGCCGCGTCATTCGGATCGATAGACATCGTTCAACAGGTTTGAGTGGATCTGGATCATGGAAGCAAGCAGCAGCTGATGATATGACAAAACAGACACAAATCACAATTCACAAAACACAAATCGCAATGGTCAAAGTCAATCCAGAGCTCTACAGCGAGCGGAGATTGGTTTCAGCGCCGCCACGGCAACCGGCCAGCAGTCCAGAATGGCAATCAATGTATTCGGCATTAGCCAATATTTGCGGTACATATCAAATAAGGAAGCCGGCTTGAGCCGCTATCTCAAAATGGAGCCGGCTCGACCAAGCTCGCAGCCGAGCTGGTTAGAAGCCGGCTCAAGCCGGCTTCCGAGGAGCCGGGCCGACCGCTAATGACATCCATGATGATGATTGGAGTGACATTTAATGAGTATTGAAGTTATATATCTCAATTTTGGAGTGACATTTGATCTCAAGCAATGAGTATCGTGGTATTTCATTTCAAGCTCAATATTGTCTAGCAAATGAAGCAGGTGCCAACAGAAGCAATTTTTTTCCAGCATTGCATGAGAAATATAGCTTTGCAATATGTTGTACACGTCTTTGAAACTCACCAGATTTAGTATGACGGAAGATACAAGGATCCAAGATCATGTAAATTACTTAAATGCTTTGATTGTGGATCTTGAGAAACTTGGAGAAGACTTGAATGATAAACCTAAAGTGATTTAATTGCTCAGTTCTTTGCCCATCTCATACCAATCGTCTGCCACGTATGTTGCTTCACGGTGACAAGAAGATTATCACTTACAATAAAGTTCAATAGCTTTATTATTTCACGACATGCAAAAAAATCTGTTGATGTCTATGCATGAATTTTTCACTTCATCATCTATTGGCTTGCCAGTCTTTTGTGGTAGTACTTTTACTAGGAAAAAAGTCAAAAAAAAGCTCAAAACCAATACTAATTCTAGGTGTAAGTTTAGAGATGAGAAAAACATCAAGTGTCAAAAATGTGGCAAAATTGATTACATTTGCAAAAATTGTTGTAGTAAGGCAACCGATGAATCCTCGACAATGGTGATTATAACTGAGGATTTTGGTTATGCCATTTCTACTTATGCCCATGTTAGAAACGATGAAAGTATTTTGGGTTCAACTTGCTCTTACACATTTGTCAGATTAGAAAGTTCTTTTGTTCTTACTATTTGTAGAGTAATATCGTTTTCTTAGAAATGATCAGAACTACAAAATTGTTGGTTTTGGATTTGTAAAATATTCAAATGTTTGATGGGGTGATGGTTTTTATCTATGTAGTTTTTTTTGACATATTGTCAGTTATGGTTTATTTCTAGTTAAAACTAGTTCATAGTAAGCAATTTATGATTTAGTTTTACCTTCTAAAATTTCTTGCCGAAACCATATAGATAGTAGAAACTCTCTCCTCCACGAATTGGCTTAAACTTAGAAACTATTTTCTCTGAAATCTCTATAGTTTCTAAGACTAATATTTGTCTTGTTAACCATAGTTAGGCTTGATCTCTAGTTAGAATTTGAGTTCGTTTGGGTTAGTTAGTACAATTGAAGGTTCGGTTTTGGCTGTATTTAGCTCTAGGATGAGCACATTTCAATTCAATCTCACATGTACATCTAATGCATATATACATGGAGAGAGAACGAAGAGCTTGGCTACAAATGCATGATATAATAATTTTGCTTTAATGAAATTTTTATCTAGATTGTGACGTAATCTCATGTGGAGGTAAACCATGTACATTGGTGTGTGTTTTTAGTTGCATCGGATCTACACTTTGATAAAGAAGATACATATATTGGGGAAGATCTAGATGTTGTACTAGAAATATTGGAATAATAATTCCAATAATTTTCAACAAAACTTTGATAAAGAAGATACATATATTGGGGAAGATCTAGACGTTACACTAAAAATATTGGAAAAATAATTCCAATAATTTTCAACAAAAATGACCCCCAAGATATTTACTTGAAGTTAAATATCAAGAAAAGTTTTCAAAATGATGTAACTTGAAAAGTAAGAGATGTATAGCTAATATGATGAGTAGGATTTGCAAGAATTACTTTGGAGTATTCTTATCATTTTTTGTATAAATTTGTACAAAATGATTGAAAGATTAAATGTCGTAAATAACTCATGGAATAAATCAGTAAAAATTAGATATAAACTGTATACTTCCAGCTCATGAACCAATTGTTATTTCTTCACTCAACAAAATGGCTACATCTTTTCAAGTGAAGGAAGTACAAGATTTTTCATTAGCATGTGGATGACAATCTCGCAATCTTTAGAAAGATTATTGAATGCATAGTACATTATAATCTGATTTGGCAACACGACTTTGAGCTATTCTAATAGTTCCGCTATGTTTGTAACCTAAGTTAGATGAACATCCATCATAATAGGGTCAATTTTACTCAAAGCAAAGAATTTATCTACAAGATAAGCTGAGAATGCCCATAACTCTAGAACGAAGTGTTCTTTCCTTTTTACTAATAGGAATCGAGGATGATGTAACACAATAGTCATATAGTTCACAACTAGATAATGTTACTTCAAAATGACTTTTGTAATGAAGGGATCATGATTTGACAAAGTTGCTGCGGTCTCAACTAGGAGATAGAGGTGGAGGTACAAGATCATCGCCTGATGTGTCAGACGTTTTATGGACAAGGACGGAACTAATGTACATATTTCTCACACAGTGAAGGACGAAAGTAGATACTAAACAAAAATTTATGATACCAATGAGCAATCACTGTTGCAGGATAGAACCTGCGTGCTCAAATCCTTAATCAGAAAAGAGAAGAACAATCCGAGACAGAGCACTCTAATATCATGATGAACTGTAAAACAACAAGAGAAACATCATACAGAAGATTGAAAATTTTCTTTGAACAATTGGTAACACATGGAATACATACCTAGCAACTAGTCTAATTAAAGATAAGGTGATTTGCAATTTGGCAATTGGATATCTAACCTTCATCTACATCTCGATGATAGCGGGAGAGTACTCGTGCAAAAGGTTATGGGCCACATACAATATTCCGCTGCATGACGAATAATGGTCCGGGATCAAAAGCTTCATGATAAAAGACTGGTCATGTTCAGCGAGAACATCATTTTCTGCTTGAGCTCGAGCTCACTCTTCTCGACTAAGAAGCACATAAAAAAGGCTTCCTGAAGAATATTGCGGGCCGAACCTTCTTCACGACGCGTGAGTGGGTCAAAGATGGACCTTCTTCCAAGTGCAGTGTTCAGTTTCAGGATGCTCTGAACGCAACCTTCTCATCTAACCCTCTGAACCTCGGCAAGGAAGTTTTGCAGATTCTTGTGTGATGATCCACCCTCCTCCATGGCAGCGTAGGCCATTTCCTTCATTATCTGCATATTTTGCCTGGCCTCTACACCTTCCTTTCCCTTCAAGAGTCTCATTATTGCAGCTGCAATTTCCTTAGCTTCATACTGTCCATGTTCGCCTTCGATTGCCACCGCTGTCTTCACCGCATTGACCATGTACCTGCAGGAAACAGCTTTTGTTAATCCCATCGCTGAACTTGATGTAAAACTTCAGCTCGTGTAGGACATGCATAAACATTGCCAGACTTGAAATCAAAAGTTTAACTAGAAATGCAATTACCTCTGATTCATGCGTTGTTCCGCGTACAGGGGAAACGCTGCGATGGGGACACCTCCAAGCATACTTTCCAGAATGGAGTTCCAGCCACAATGTGTGAGGAAACCTCCAACGGAAGGATGTAGTAAAATTTCCTGCTGTGGGACCCAAGACGTTAGAACGAGTCCGCGAGACTGCGTTCGTGATTCGAATCCTTCTGGAAGGCTTTCAATTTTAGAGCTTTGCGGTGGAATTCGCAGAGCCCAGAGGAAAGGAACTCCTGTGTCCTCGAGTCCACTTGCTATTCCCGTGATCAGGGGTTCGGGCAGCTCTCTCTGACTTCCGAAGCATATAAATAGCACTGAAGACTTTTGCTGTTTATCAAGCCACGCGATGCTCTCGCTTTTTTCCACGGGCTTAGTGTCATCAAGAGCGCCCGGTATGCCAGGGAGGAGGAGGAGTGGGCCTATCGTGAAAACTGTGGGCGGATCCTGTCATCAAAGGTAGAGTGTTGCCAAAGTATAAACAGTCATCACCGAATTACATCAAATGCCAAACTATCCTCGGACAATCTAGCTCCAAAGGATTTTCAGCTTATAGAGCTTCAGTATTTATTAGAGTTGGATGAATTTCTGTGCACAAAACAGAGAGACTGACTGACTTTCTGTAGAGAATATCAATCTTATGTATGGAACGCTCACAATTCAGCCACTTCTAAGCTCAAAGCAACCAAGGGCAATGTGTTTCGAACTTTTCATCGATAACTCGCGCATGAAAATCCCAAATCATACCTCTATTATAGACTCGATCGATACACTATGTAAACTTACCTTGCGAGGCATAGCGTTAAGCTTCAGCTGATCGCGGAGATCAGACAAGGGCTTTTTTTCGAATTCCTCGAAGGAGTTGAATACGAGCCCAGCAGACCCTTTAATTGCACGTGGAAGTAAATGGAACAAATCCGGTTCCATTTCTGTCAATGCCATGGGCATATCACCTCCTGTGAACATTTCAAGGCCGGGAAGATCTAGGAACTGTTTTCGCTTGACAGGATTTTGAGGAATCCAGCCTCCATCCACAATTCCTTCTCCGTGCAGCAGAACGAGACCGAAGTAGGTGGGGCATGTTACGTAGAAGTAGTTCGGAATTCCCCACTTATCTGCCAAATCCTATATGAATCATGAAGATTAGAGCTCAAACTAGAGCTCGTGAACGCTGATGTAATTACAGATGATATCTAAAGATGTGCCTCAAAGCTGTCATAGGTTCACTGACCTACTCCACACATTAATCAGAGTCTTTTGAAAAGTTGTCAGTGAAATCTTCAGTCTAGCTGTTAACAGTGTAAAGTGATGAAGATGGAAGAGGGGATGCAGGTCTGAAGCTTCGATCGAGGTTTCAAGGTGCAGATTCGTAAGGAAACGTACTGTCGAGCTTACCTGACAGAAATACAGAAACATGTCACTTATCATGCATGTGTACCTCGAGGGATCAAATTCGCCATTTGAGATGAAGGACTCCAAATTTGTCCACATTGCCGGAACGAGATCCTTTCGAAGACTCAGCGTGCTCGGATCTGTGTAGACCTCCAGAAATTCCACATCAATTGTTGCAAACGCTCCCTTCGCCTGATAAGCCTTCAATTCATCACATCGTCCTCGATCCGCCAGCAAGGTAAAATTCAGCTTCTTCGTAGCAAGTTGTAGTATGAGCTGCAGAAATGGACCCCAATGTCCCGATGCCACGACAGGAAACAAAAGCGCTCGGGGAGTTCGCTCCACGGAACCCATGTGATTCCTTGTCACGCGACGTTTAGTCTGTCCCGTCCAAGAATGTTTATGGTCTCGAAGAACTCGAGAGTCACTCGTGAGATTCACAATACAGAAGAGTCGTAGAATCTGCGGCTAAAAAGTGACGGATTACCAAAGCAGAAAATCCGTAAACCTGGTGACACTGGCACTCCTCTTCTCGCTTTCTCTCGTCGCTTTTTCAAGCCTCAGAGGATGTTGAGTTCGTAGGAGTGCCACTCTTCAAGTTGCTCATCGATGCTGATGCTGATCGATCCTTCATGTACGTGAAGGATTACGGATCCTGATGCTAACGCTGACCAAACATCGTCAACGTTAGCTGTTTAGTCACAGATTTTATTTAAAACACTTTTCCTGACACCACACTGAAAGTAAGTCATGATTGCAAGTTGCCTCTGACGAGACAAAGGACCCTAAACCCAGAGCACTTCCCCATCTCGACCGGTCGTCGTTTGATCACTTATTTGAAAACATGCACGTGAACTCATCATCCCCAAGTCTGCAGCATGACAAGTTCCATGTCATGGCTAAAACGTGATGGCCAGACGTGTTCGATTGGAGAATATCCAAGACGTAGGCCCCAAGGCTTTGTTGTTGACAGATTGCGAGTCAACATTGACGTAGTCATATCACGCTTTCTTTTGTTCTCTACGATGAACTTCAAAGTCTACCAGTTAAATATGAGATCATAATAACCCTGTATAAAAAATATCGATCTTCCAGTTCATACAGGAATTTGAAGAAGTCAACAGTGCTCCTTTCACAAGATCCTGCGTCATCGGTCTTCGATCTCGAAGTCTATCTGTACATTTCAATCATACAATATCTTCGAGTGGCTGTTTTTCGGATGGTCGGTAGGACAATCGAAGTACGAACATGTAAATCATCAAATGGTACGTGAAGTCTAATATTTCAGGAGACATGAAAGGCATAAGGTCGACCTCTTGTCGATCCGCATTCGATAATTTGACACAGTTCTACTATGCAACATACACATGCATCGACATCAATCTCATTTTGAAGTAGTTGGGAGATGATCTTGATGCAGTTGCGGTTTTTGCTCGTCACGGGAGATGCGATTTCCAGTTTGGTCAAACAGAGTTACGAATATTTTCTTATTTCGCTCGGTCCCAACTCTGATCATGAGGCTTGTTTCTATCGAACTGACAAACGGGGCAGTTTATTATGCCACACTGGAAGATTATTCTTAGATACTCATATAAAGTATCTGTAGTCTTTAGTCATCTTGTAGTAGTTCACCTGATCTTCTATGGGGATCACAAACAACTCATACCGAAATATACTCGACCGTGTACATCCATTTATTCCAACTTACCACTTCATACCCGAAGTTGATTCCAAGTTCACAGTGTAAGGATTCATGAAGCCTTACAGTGGAAATTTCACAAGGCGATGTGATAACTTCAGATTGGTCAGGAGCTATTCGTTCATGTGAAACAGAAAGCATATTGAGGTGTTGAATTGTTGACTTTGTCTTTTGGTGTTGACTTCGCCATCTCATGTTCTTGGAGTCAGTCCTCTAGCCTTCCTATTCCACCGTCTCCACTCCCTTTCTATCGCGCTTTAATCTCAACCGCAATCGAAGAAAGGATGTCTATGCAATCAAAGCTATCAGGACGACCTTGGAACTGGTTTTGAATAGATTTACTTGTCCTTAAGAAGGATATATTGTATGTTTAAGTGGCTGATCTTCATTTTCGTCGAAACTCCGGATCCACTTCTTTGTTCCTAATACCAGTTACTTATTTGCATTAGTGTGGACTGATTCTCATAGTGTGAAGATGAGCCACTTATCCAAGTGGTCATTTGAACAAGGCCGGCTATATTTATTACCAATTTATAACATTATCTGATGGGCTTGGAACCTACAGTATTCTGTCACTCTAACTTCCTGTTTCCACAGCTAAGCGAGCCCCTTCCATGTGTTAGAAGCAGGTACTCGAGATAGTTCACACTATGGGAATCAGTACAAGAATCCTAAAGAAACTCGGGGCCACACGATGGGAAGATACACATGGCTTGTACTCGGTAGTGTTTTTTTAAGTTATAGATACAAGTGAATCAGTACAATTGAAAAACTATCGCCTTGTACTTCTAATTACAACTGGGTCTTGAGTATTCACTCTGTCACGAATAGAACGTCACAGGTACAAAGAGATAAGTAGCCCAAGCTTGAGCTAAAACTCATGAACAGTAATGAAGTTAGGTCTTATGCAGTATCAATGGCCATAGTCTATTCGACTCCGTATTTTGCAGTTCATTGCTGTTATAGCCAGATTCTAACCATATTAATGGAAGTTGCAAATAATTAACTGGTATTAGGAACAAAGAAGTGGATACGGAGTTTCGACGAGTGCGAAGATCAGCCACTGAACCAAGTGGTCAATTGAACAAGGCCTTTTGTCTGGCTATTTTTTAAAAAATTATATAAGATTAACTGCTAGGCTTGGAACCAACAATATCCTGTCACTCTAACTTCCTCTTTCCACAGCTAACCGAGCCACTTCCATGTGTTAAAAACAGGGACTCGAGATAGTTCAGCGCTTTTCCTCCATCTTGGCCTGATTGTCTTGCCAGCTCAGAGGGAGACAAATGAGACTGTTGGTCATGCATGTCATTAAGCAAATTTGATACACTGAACTATGGGCTACATTACAGTACAATATGCAGAATGTTGAAGCATGCCACTGAAGTTTGAATACATAGAGATTTGAAGGACGTCATTCAACCAATATCCAACCTGGAGTTGAAAGCACATTAAGAATTGAGTAGTGTACAAGGTTGGCTTAATAATTGGTGTTCTATCCTCGGAGAAAAAGAAGGAATTACTGTAGAGTAGTCTGAATACTTATCCAACAGCAATTTCACTAATGTGGAGTCGTAAACTTGCAGCATCAACCGATGCTATGTATAGATCTAAGTCACGCAGTTGGGACTCTACACTCCAATCCAAACCACAAGTGGCCAATATCAATGCTCTAAGTTAAGTCGACGAATCAATGAGGCATCATCTTTCTGATGCATATGGCACAATTACTTACAATGTTAACTGGGTATTATCGTACAAGGGGTTGACTGCTCGGATCTCGAGCTGCAGCTTCCATTGGCCAGCAGCGAGACGCCTTGTGAGTGATACAGGTACATGTGTTAGTCGTGTTCATCATTAGGATGAGTCTTACAACCCTGGTGATGACGTCTACGAGCTCCTGGATTAAAACTTTTGGGCCTATTGGCTATGTAACAATCTTGTCCAATTCGTGCTCAGCAGCAACAATGCACGAGTCCCTCTGTAACATTCGCCGACCAATTTCGTCCGCATTTTTTAACTCCTCCTGAAGAGTTTTTGGGGCCAATACAGGGTCTTCGGGGAGCTCCAATTCCTCTGAAAGGCATTTCAAGTCCGGGGCGATGCCAACTTGATCGATTTGATGAAATGCTGGAGATAAGTACTTGGCAACTGTTACGAATAACGCAGATCCATCCCGCAGCTCTGTAACACTCTGCACTCATAGACAAATCAATAGGCAGGAAATTTAGACCAATTAACATGTGCTTACATCCTTGCCCACAAGTGGTACTATTTTGTAGTAAAATGGAAATAGTCTCGACCAAAGCTTAGATTAGAAATTTACAGCAAAGGTTCAAAAGCGCTCGTCACCTGTATCTTCCCTTTGCCGAATGTTTGCTGGCCGACTAGAACTGCACGTCCGTTGTCATGTAAAGCTCCAGCTAAAATCTCACTTGCACTGGCACTGCCTTCATTGACCTGTATCCAACAAAAAGGTTCGTAAAACTGACTTACGTCCAACACTCAACATAATGAGTTTACAATGGCTGCGGTTATATCATGCATTAATTTCAAAAATTTTCCATATTAATAGGGATTATAAATGGTTAGGGATTGCAACTGACCAGCACTACCAAAGGGTTCTGTGTAAGAGCGCGGCTGTTGACTAGAGTTATTGGTTGTGTATCACCATCCCGATCAATTGTGTTCACCAGGATGTCGTCACCATTCAGCCACATTTGTGCCACATCCAAGCCAGCTTTGACGAGCCCTCCCTGGTCAACGAAAGCAAAAAGAAGAAGAACAAAGGTGTGAGGTGGATTGATCCGGAAACGCGCTTTTGTTGGAAGTGTTCAAAATCATTAGGTTGGATATGTTACGGAGCAACAACGCTGCGAAGTTGATCTATAATATTGCTGAGCAAGCCATTCTCGAGGAAACTGCAACCATACTGCGTAAGCCCTTTTGTGGTGAACGTGAACGAATCGCAAGTTGCATACCGGATTATTACGTAGATCCAATATGTAGGATTCAACGCCTTCTTTCTCCAGCTTACTAATGGCACGTTCCATGTCCGCAGCCGCATTCTGAATACATTCCATTCAGAAGTCAGAAGAAGCGTTATAAACGTAGGAGTCGAGTATGAATGAGTAAATACTCCAAAATATTACAAATTACCTCCACATTGGTCTTAACACTGGTCATGTTCCGGCTTGAGAAAGCACAAGTGGACCAAACTACGTGTGTTTTGCCCACAGTCTATGTGACGTGATTTAGCGTGCTTCTTTAGATGTACCTGAGAGAATGTTGTGAGACGGATGTAACCCGTCTTCTCCTCATGACCATCAAGTGCAGGGTGTGCAAGCACTGTACTGTAAACAGGTGATAGAGCTATAGTCTCTCTCTTCAACTTCACCTGTAGGAAGGGCATGTTAAAGAAAGACCAACGACAGCAAACAGGACGGTGTCTAAGTAATAAGGGGGGCATTTATTTGTTTCAAGGACTGGATCTACGTTAAACATAAACATGTCTGTCCCGATATGTCACTCCACAATTTGCTTAAAACTGTTACAAGTACTGAAAAGACCTACAATAAAGAGAGAACAAAAATTGAAAGTACCTCTGTCATAAGGGGTTCTCCTTGGACACCATCTGCACTAACCTGTGAAGTGATCATACACCTTCAAAATTACTCCTCAAATTTAGCCGGATCTGTAGAAAGATTTGTTACATGAAGGACAGTCCTATTCCTTGTTCAACAAAACTAGCAGGGCATCCTAAGATTTACTTTACAATGTTATTTTGCCCAATGTGAGAAGAAACCTAAGCAGGTGACATACCGAACGGCGTAGGGTCAGCGTCACCGACGTTCCGGCGCGTCCTCGCAGCTTGGTAGCTGCCATTTCTCCGTCCATTCCAGAGAGAGGCTCACCTGTGGCATAGGCAATATATGCTTAACTTACACAGAATGGATCTTCTTTCACCTGAGCTGGTGAAGAAATGCATGTACGATTTATAAACCTCTACCCTGACGATGTATCAAACGATGCTTTTAGGTGATCTTCATACCGTCAATATACACAAGTTCATCGCCAGAAATTATGCCAGCCCTTGCAGCAGGACCTCCGTCGAGTGGAGACATTACAATCTACATATTGCAGTGGATGTATTAGATATTATGCCCGACAATGAGAAAGACCAGCTTTTGTCTAACGAGCCGTTGACATAAAACTTCTTCGCTCTAGAACGTAGATTTGAGGAAGTAAAGTGACTGTTTTTCATAAATATGGACCGCCAAAGGATAGTAAAAGGGAGAAATGGCTTGAGATTTGGAACTTGAAAATCTGCTTTCCTTCATGGGCCGAAGAAGATTGAGCTGATTATCTAAGAGAAAGCTGGAGGTAATAAGTTACCAAGTGTCCTGTATCACGTTCCGAAGCGATCAACAGGCCGACGCCTTCCAGCGCTCCGTCATTATTTATTCGGAAATTTTCGTATTCCTAGTAAATATCCACACAAATAAATGTAAAAATTAGCTACTCCGAGCTTTGATACGTAATCGACCGAAAACCAGACCATACCTGTCGTCCAAGTCGACCACAATGTCAGTACTAAAACCAAACGATAAAACAAGGTTTTAACCTGTTCTAAGATTTCGCTCACCTTTGGAGTAATGATACGTGTGAAGGGATCTCCCAAGGATGCTAGCATCGATTTAATCTTGGAATAAGCTTCTTCTGAAGTTTCGTCAGAGAGAGTGTCGGCCAAAGAACTTTCTAGTGTTAAGTCCCAGTCCTGGTGGTTGAAAGAGGGATCCACATAAGTTTCTCTAACAATCCCCCAGGCTTCCACCAAAGTTCTTTGAACTGTGTTCACCTGCATCATTCAGTCAAACGGCTAGCTTTAATAATCCAGGCATGTTATATTCATTTCTGAGGATAAATCAAACAAAATTGCTGAGACTCTTCTTTGAAATCGACAGCAGCAGAGGTGGGCAACATGGGCAGTCAAAACAAACCCTTTATTCTTGTCCTCGTCAATGAAGAGTTCACATATTTGACTCTTTTGAACTCTACCACATCAAATTCGAAATCAGCTACAAACATGAAGTACAAATTGATCGGACCTGTTTGATTACCTCTTCGATAGTGGAGCCAGGGAATGTGAGCGTGAATGTATCTTCGGCCCATGCAGGTAGGCCAGTGTTGAATAGTAAGACTCCCGCTGCCAGAGTACATGACACAGCTTTTGACAATTTTGTAAGCAGACCCTCCTCTTTGTCTCCCTGGCTACTGATACTGCTCTGATCTTGAGTTTTCTGTGACTTGCTCTCGTCTTTAGCAGAGGCTAGACAATTTCGCCTTCTGAATGCAGACGCTTTCGCATTCCTCTTCTGTGCCTTGCTTGTAAATAAGGAAACGGCCCCCTGTCGAAATTCAGAACTAAGAAGAGGTGTCTGAAGCCGGTTCGACTTGAATGCGCTGCATTGAACAATGTGCTGGCCATCCAGTGACTTCCGACCCACCAAAAAACATTCATCTACATGATGTATGGACTGTGCCACCGGTAAACGTAGAGTAGCAGCATCCATTAGTAGAACGGCTGTAAAAAAGACCACAATTTCAGATCAAACAGCAAGTGGGATTCGTTTCCATTATTCTGACAGAAACATCTTTTGTTTCCTATAATATGTAAATTATTCTGAGTAGGAGCAGGCTCTCTAGCTTAATGACGTGCTTAAGAAAAGGAATTAAGGAACATGGAGCTCGGTTTGTTGTCAATGAATTTCGGGCAATTGATGAATGATAAGGTGGAAGAAGCTATGAGGCCCAGCAGATGAAGGAGCAGGAATATCAGATCAGCACAGAGCATGCAGAGGATTTCCACAAATTACTCGTTATGCAGAGAAAGGCCAACCTTATACTGAACTGTCTCAAGCAACTTGTCCAAGAATGAAGCGGAATAAATCTGACAAGAATAAGGAGCAATTCTCAAATGAGGAAAAATAGTACTGAAGAGCAGAACGCACCAAGAATATGTTATAGCTGTTGTGATTCCCCAACCGAGCGCAATAGGAGATCTTAGCGCCACAATCTCCCGAGCAAATCACCTACTCATCTTTCAAGCTATAGGGCACTTCAATTGCTCTATACGCTCTTGGCTCTCGTCCAAACTGGACTTCTGGAGAGAGCCTCGAACGGCCGAGGCGTTCTGTGCAGAACTTCCGGGAAGAAGTTCGTTGACTGCCGACAAAGAGATGTGGAATTACCCCGTTAGCTTAGCAAGTGTCAAAAGTTATTAAGGATTCTCGCCAATTTTCATAACTCCATTTTTCTAGCGACACCCCAAGATTCCTATCCCTCAGAAGTGAGCACACGGCAAACTCAATTCTGTGTACTCTGCAGAAGAGAGCCTCATAAGGCGAACTGAACCTGAAAACATAACAGGGAGCTACATTCCCTGCACAAATTCGGTCAACAAAATCAACTCTACAGCGCCACACGCCAGAGACGGCAGGACTCGCTTCCAATACACACCTTGATGGGGAATTTGAATGCAGGACGGTATCCCCCTCCGCCTCGAAAGGACAGACTATATGCAAACTCATGCTGCAGAGGAAACCAGCAGCAAGGACGAAGATGAGAGTACCGGCTACCAGCTGACCCGGTAAAGAATTTGTGGTGAGACAACTCAATCACGAGCTCAATTTACTTTCCTCGAACCATCGCCGCAGTCGCAAGCACTTCATCTCAACTTACCTTTCGCCAAAGTTACTACAGAGAAGAAACTCAGATACAGCACTTTTTGACTCCCATGAGCATAAACTGGTAAACACTTTTTCATTCAGATCACGTATGAAACATCGGGGACGAAATGCAGGGGGCATGGCTCTTCGTGGGAATGCCGTTCCCCTACCGATAGCAGAGCAGGACTTTCTTAGTGTGGTAAAGATGAATCTTGGTGAGAGCCCGGATTCACATGTCAGAAAGTTGGAGAAGTGAGAGCCCGTAGGAAGCCAGACGGTACCGGTGACCAGTGGCGAAGGGGAAACCATGTGATTGGATTCCCGGCCTCCGGGAAGCGACCACCACAACAGGACGAATTGAAAATAGAAGGGCCCACTTCAGCATGACAGACCCAATTGCCCACTTGCTTTTCACTCCCTTCCGGCATCCAAATTCCACTTGAACCGCCTTTTTCCACCAGCATTTTTGTTCCTTTCAACATTTACCAGGACTGTGGTTCTTCACGTAAGGATGAATTAGAGTACGTTGTCTGTAGTTCCACACAATACAATTTTTGGTCGTCTTATCAAAGCCAAGCATCGGCCATCACGGTGAGCGCAATCTTCTCGACTGCAGCACTCTAACTCGTAAGCTTCTTATCAATAGCGTCTTATCCCAAGGATCATCTGAAGTACAAACATTCACATCTTGACTCATACTTTGCTTCGAACGATGAATCGCTCATGCTACAAACGTGCTGAGCAGAGCCCAACATTGGGTGCCCATGCCCATGGGTTTTGAGTGACGTTATTTTTCCATGGGTGGGCACCTAACGGCAGTGTTTGTCAAGATCCAACCAAGAATTGTTGTAACCGGTAAATACACAAAACACAATTGCGTAATTTTAATAGCATGGGTTGGCACAGGTAATGCTATGGGTGGGCTTAGATCGCTGCTGATGGTTATGGTCTGGGTGCAGATTTGAAGTAAAATGTTGGCCTCGGGTGCTGAGGATACGATCAAGTGGTTAAAAAAATAGCTTCGTTATCCTTCATCATGACACTAGGTAACACATGCACCAAACACATCACGACTAACTCGAAGAGTATCGACATCGCTCACCATGTCGCACCATAGAAATAAATTCCATATTTTAAGAAATAGAAGGATTTGAGAAGTTTAGCAGGTTTCAGACACTCCCCTCCAATTGGGAGCAACGTCCGTAAAGGCCCAGCTGCCGTCGTGGTGGTGAATGCAGGACTCTTCTTACCCGGCTCGGCGTTTGAGGTTCTAACGAACTACTCCTGCGCTACCGTCGATTCGATCGACGGCGGAGCGGAGAGCGGAACGCGCCGTCCGATGGGCGATCGAACGACGAGTGCAAAGTCCTCGAATGCGAGATCTGCGCAGATGACACGCCAGTCCCGCCGGCTCCAACCAAAGGGAGGTTCCTCCCACACGCGGGGACACAATCACAGGCGTCGGATGCAGATCTGAGGATCCAGCGCGTTCGAGAGGATCCCAGCAAATCGGGCTCGGGCCCGCACCAAGTTTCCCTGCACGTGGCCAGTTCCGACGCGCAAAAATCTGTTCCAAGTAAATCGAAGATTGGCTTTCTCTGTGCTAGTCGTAGGCCCTGTCACGGAGTGTCACCGGCAAAACTTGATTGGGTCCAGTGAAATGTCGCCCAGAGTTGCGTCGGAAAGGGGTGTTGCTGACTGGCTACCCGGTCGCAGCCAATTGAGCCCCAGTTCTGATGACCGCTCGCGTTCACACCCTTTCATGACTTACACGACAAAAGCAAAAGCGGTTGTCCCTCCAGACCCATGTTAGAATTGGAATGTGACTTTCTGGGTCGAGATCCAAATGTTTGGATAAAGTAAAAATTAGATTGAACCCAGCTCAGCTGCCAGAAGTTTGGAGAACACAACTCTTCCACATATATTGTTACGAGGGTAGTGTTTCACCGGCTCTTTGGGCTTCTGAGTGAGGACATTTGACGCTCGAAGTGCTCATGTACAGTACTCCCACTGTTTGTCCTCAAGCTCGACATATTCCTCTGTTTTCTCGCTAGGCTTCTTCTTTTTGAATGGTTGATGAACATTTACAAGTCGTTTGGTTTCAATTACATCATCTTAAAGAATCTTGGGGTATCATGGATTAGATGTACAGTACATCTATTGACTCAAAACATGTATGTTGCATTTGATTATAACATTCTTGAAAGAAATTTTAATGAAAGTTTTTATGCATGTAATAATTTATATGATGATTTATTTTTGTAAATAGTTTATCATTCTCCCCAACTTCAATCAAAGCTAAAAGTTCCATAGTAATTTTATGAGAAAATTTCTTCATTTTTTTAAAATTCCTTGAGTTATTGAAAATAAAAGTGACATTATTTTTAAATAGATATTTTTATTTAATTCAAGACATGGAATTTAGAATATTCTTTCACACACTGCAACTTCAATATTATATCTATTGGAAATAAAAAATAAAATTAATTGATGATATGAAATAATTTTAACTAACATTTCTATATAAATGATATTACATACAGTAGAACCTGTCTTAAGTAATGCTGCTGGGATCGGAAGTTCAGTATTAGACTAGGGAGGTTACTAGTTAATGGATGTAGGATATAACCGGCTACTTCTACCTTGGGACCGGATATTTGTATTAGATTATAGATGTTACTAGTTTAGACAGTTTCTACTGTACAACAATACAAGTGAAATTATTATGCAATAGAGTAAAATTTTGTTGATAGTAGAAAAAAAAAAATTCAAATAAGTATAAAAATCACTTGACTTAAAGTCAAAAACAATTTTCATATATAAGATTAAGTTTTGAATTAGTGCAAGAATATAACAAGATTTATATATAATTTGATCATGATTCACTTTTTTTTTCAAAGCTAAATTTTAGATTTGTTTGGATTGATTATGAGCCAGCATAGTTGTATTAGGCGATATATATAGGCGCCTAAATTACCTAAACAACGGCGCGTTTATGAGCCTAAATTAAAATGGTAGGGATTTTGGCACCTAAATTAATATAAAATGCGGCAATTAATGAGAAGAGTACGTCAAGTCATATATCTTTTGACTCAAAGTCATATTCTTGACGTATATATACAACAATTCTCACATTTCTTTTCACATGTTCCTGCAACTCTTGCTCTCGTTACCTCAACTGGAGTTCGTTTGATTCTTTGTAACCATCTTTAGTTAGTTACAACTAAAGTAGAGGTTACTCTAAATGTTGATATAGCGTGCACTAGTCATAGTTGCCATGTCAGCGATTCGCGCGCTTGGTAGATAGAGAGTGGATGTGGTAGTTGACAGTGCCACGTCAGCAATCCGTGTGCTTATACGTAAGTATTGAGTGTGTTAGTAGGGAGCGCCACGTCAGCGATCCGTGTGCTTGTTAGGATTATCCGCCACGTCATCCATTCATTAGGAGTGGGATGGATGGTGGGAATAAGATCTTATCTCCTTGTACTTGTTTGTGAGAGCTATATAAGAAAGAGTAAAATCATTGTTGGTATCTCTCATCTTCAGAGTTTATGTTTCTATCTTCGAGTGAACTTCTCTCTAAACCCTAGTGTTACATTCTTTGTCTAAATTCTTCATCATCCACTTCAAGTTTAGCTCAACAGAATGAAGTTCATCCAATTCTTCGTCTAGGTTTTTCATCATCCATTGAGGTTTAGTCTTCGTTCAATCACTTTGCACTTCAGAAACTAGTAAACTTTTGTCACTTCCCTTTCTCCAAGGCCTGAAGTTTGTATTCGTGTGTTTGATTTCTAACATTGTTCCAATTCAAGTTTCTTGCTTTGAATAGGTCTTGATGGAAAGGGACATTTTATGGAATGGAACTCCATAACATGTCGAATCATAGATTCAGAGCACGTGAGCTTTGTAATTGAGCTCTGCAATCTGACTTGACATTTGCTCCTATTGACATTCTTGTTCAGCAATGTTTTTATTTGCCGTGGTTGGATACTGAATTTTTAGTGAGCCTGGCAAGTAAACTGATCATTGTTTTGGAAATCACGTTTTGGCCCTTTGTGATCGACATATTTTGGAATTTTTGATGACATGTAGAACTCTGTTTATCTGAACGTAAACACACCTCCAAACGCAACTTCAGTATGGTGATTAACTCTTTGTGTTTGATTATATCATGAAGTTTACTGCGTTCGATGCATCCATCTTTTGTTTTAAGCCACTCGAGCACAAGGTAGTATAACATCTTTTCACACAGTCAATTTACATGGTACACTCAAACTTCAAACGATTCAAAATCTTCTCCAACTTGACCAAGTAATCTCTCTACCTTAGTGGAATGAGGAACACTAAGAGTTGTTTGGTGCGCATTCTTTTATTTAAAGTGTCAAACAATATAACGTCAACGCCAAATGGTTGAGCTTGTAAGGGCTGGAAGTAGGAGACTAATGTTTCTTGCTTGATTTCAAGTCTAGCGTTAATCCTTCTGCCTGACCTCACAATTCAGGAGCCATCCACAAGTCAAATATGTTAAGTCGGTATGTTGTAATATACTACATTGAAAAGAAAAGCATCCCGTCAAACGAAGCTGAAAAAAATTTGGGATTAACGGGTTCATTGATTATTATTAAAAAAATCTCTATTGTATCAAATTCTTGTACACTTGCGCAATATTCTATCAAGATTTGTAAACTTATTGAAATATTTTCAACATGCTAGTTATCGATTCAGGCTCCAGTCATATAAGACATGCTTCAATGAATCTTTAGATCTCAATATACCTTTGGCAATTTCTCATGCACATAGAATCTATAGTCGTCTTCTTCTATGATTGTGTAGCAAGATGACAAAAGGAAAATCAAAAACTTCACCTTGATCATTGATGACAACTGACCGGTAGCAAAGAGAAGAAGTTCTTAAAAGTTTGCGACATAGTACTTGGTGATTCAAATTTTTGTTTCAGTTTTTCAGTTTTTGTACTTTTCAGAATTCTAGTCATCTTGCTATCTTATGTACTTGATACTTACTTAAATATCAT